GATAGTGCACCTAATCTTCCATGAGGCCTTTGACGGGCGTCACAATAAACAAATGAAGGTGTAGTCTGATCGTCCGGGTGAGTGTAGTCCTGAGAAGGACTGTTGTCGGTGGTAGTGACTGACGTTTCTGACAACAATGACGTTACTGACAACAATCATTCACTTGACTCTGATGATGACTTCCGCACAGGTTGTCGAAACGTCAGTCACTACCACCGACAACAGTCCTTCTCAGGACTACACTCACCCGGACGATCAGACTACACCTTCATTTGTTTATTGTGACGCCCGTCAAAGGCCTCATGGAAGATTAGGTGCACTATCACATTGGATTTGGGTGAAGGGGATTGTCCGCCTTCAACTCTCGGTCACTTTGCGAACGCTACTGTAAAACTGCTAAAGCTGTCTTTTTCTTGCAGCGGCCCTTTCGACTGAAACATGAGTCGCTCTTTCTTTACATTAGCAGCGTAACTGTCTCTTAAAAGATATTTGTAAAACCTTGAGATGCTGCGGCAAATGATCTAGACATCCTTCGTGGCATTTCGGAAGATTTCTATGTTTCTATACATTAAAAGTCTACCCTTTTGGAATCGGTTTCTCACCTAAGTTGTTGATGCGTCTGATAAGCTTCCCAAAGAGATGAGTAAACAAACTAATAAGTAACGAAGGAAGCAGAAAACTCTACCGAAAACATTCAGTTTCAACAGATTCAAGATCCACATAAGAAGTTACTGAACAATTCATTTCCCAAACAAATAAGTCTATTAAGAGAGATAGTCTGGAAACGTTTGCTACTAGATTACATTGAAACCAGGAAGGATTATCCAGTTTCCCTAATCGATCACATTTTGAAGTATAATCTTTTAACATTATGTTACTGCTTCCACCAACGTGCTCTTGACTTATTCTTGTGCATAATTGTTACGGTTATCAGTTAAACAAGACTCAAGGTGCAAGGTGAATAAAAATACAGTCTGCATGAAAGGAGAAACTTCCCCACATTCTACTCAAGTTAATGTTTACAAATTACCCATACTTCATTCTGTCTAGAAAAGATCTCAATTATTGTCCTTGACATTTTCAGGCACATCAAAAAAAGAGGGAATTTTCAGGTGAGAGCGTTTCACCTCAAAAAGGAGGCAATGCTAAAAGGCTGAGGGACCATGAGCTCACCAGCTCAGGTGAGGGACATTAATGGCATTTTAGCTGCTTGAATAAATCCTGATTGTAAGAAAAGTCGCAAAGAAAAATTCCTGTGAAAGGTTAGAACCAGTTACAGACGCTCATTCCGCTTCCAAGGGTTTCCGCTTTCGGGAGCATTAGATTTATTTTCCTTCATTCTGAAGAGTAAGGGATCAACTCTCAGCCCTTATGTTAACATTTGCTCTACACAGAGTGGTCATAACTTCAAATCTATGTGTAGTAGGAAAAAATTTATTTTGATTAGGATTTGCCTATTGGACATTTCGAGATCCTTTTCACGTTTTTACAAGAGTTTCTGCAGAAGTGTCGTCGTGGCTTTTTGATGAGGTTGTTTATTGGACATTCCTGACGGCAACAAATCACCTATCGTCTGTGAACGAACTTCAAAGTATTAACTCTCAGATAACATGGACTTTGTCCATGCACTTTCTTAATATGAAGCTTAAGATTAGGTTTTCGTAATTGAGAGATTTTTGTGATTCTTTTGCCATTTTGTGCCAAGGGTATCTGAACATTACTGGGTGACGTTAAAACTTCCATGTCTATGGCTCTTTTTTATCCTTGTGTGCGATTTTTTCGCTTTTCAGTTAAACAAGGTACCCCTACAGGAGAGGAATTGGAGAAAATAGGCTCAGAAATTGCTGAAAAGTGGATGATTCTAGGGCGCCGCCTGGGTGTCAATGATTCAAAACTAAAGGATATAGAGCAAGCAGACACGTCTCTCTGTGAGAGAGCGTATCAGATGTTACTCCACTGGAAACAAAAAGAAAGTTCTGATGCCACTTACCAAGTTTTATCATGTGCATTACGGCATAAACTCGTGCAGCGCACAGATTTGGCAGAAAAATTTTATCAGACCGACGGTAACTTTTTTTGTAACTTCCTACTCATGTCATTCCTCAATTATTTTTGTACTCTATTATGAATGATAAATTAATGCACTGTAATTTTGTAGTGACTTCAAGTGAGAGGAGAGTGGAAAATGGCGGCCATATTTGCCAAGGAGAACGCTGAGGATGATGAAGTTGCGAACGCTTAGCCGTGACTTGTCAAATTAATGAATGACGGTGATTCTTCATTGTACTTTATCGTAACTTATGCATTTTCCTCATTTATCTTAACGTAAATCGTGAAGCAACGTAATAAGATGAAATGCCAAGACGGTCGATACTTTGGGGTGTTGTAGAATGTATTTTTTCATCAAAACAAAACAGGGAGACGGTGGTGAATACTATGGGAAAATTCATGATTTCTAATCGATATGAAATTGAGTGACGAGTTTAGTAGTGTACAGTTGAAATAAAGGTTCTTGTAATTTTATCGCTCCCAAATGAAATCCCCCACCCCTCCCGTCCACCTTCCTCGAGTTTGCTGTTCCTTAACCCTATTTCAAGAAGACAGTTTTAAACTTTTTTCTGCGATATATATCCATTCTCTTTCAAGGAAAATTACAGTGGACTATTTCTCAAACTCATGTAACGTGTCCACGCCTTCCTATTGAAGCTACACAGAAAGAACGTTAGTAGAATATTAGCGTCTATTTTGTGGTCCAGACATGCTTCAGCTTTCTGAGCAGTAGTCATCTAGCTTAACACAAGACAATCAGAGGATGTGATTTAGGACAAACGCGTAAGGGCTTGTTACTTGACAAATTGTGTGAAGTAACCAATCAGAAGGTGTGTTACATGGCAATGTAACGATCTTTCTCATGATGTATTTCTATTTACTTATCAGACCAAACCAACTGAAAATTATTAGGTCAAGAGGACTTTGGGCATGAAGAGAGATGGAAGAGAGCGGAGATTTTGTTTAAAAAATAACAAAGAGGGATTAAGTTAAAATCCTCTTTGCACGACCCAGGTAGCCTACTAACTCGGCGTGGATTCACCGCAAAGGGTAACTCTTTTTATGTCAGAAATTTGTAGGCGTTTGTTTGATTCTTGTTGTAAATATTCACCTAAAGGGTCATCCAGGCTTGTAGCCTTGGTTAATCCCCTTTTTATATTTTGTTCTTTTCTTGTACGTTAAGACCTGCCACCGTTTTGCCATTTTCAACTTATAACTATTATTCTTTCTTGTCATCTTTCCAATCCATATTTTCTGTTTTCTCGTCGATAGGAAGAGTGTCATGCAACGATTTATCCGGCAGCCAAAAACTGCAATTTAGCTGTGACGAGTAGGCTTAAACCAGAAGCCAAGCGAAGTTTGAGCTCCGCACGTAAATATCTGAACTGAAGCGAATACTCAATGATTGTAAACATATTTGCAATCCAAATAAATAATTCGTAGAGTTTCGTACTGAGCAGCACTAAAACTCCGAGGAGGGTGGGGAGAGGGTGTGATTTCCTTCTGGAGTTACCTTTGGCCATGAGGTCCAATACTCCATATTTCATTTCCTTATTATGGTCACTGCCACGGTTTTTGGTTCTAGCCCTCTTGCCGAATAACTACATGAAGTTGACATCTCGACCTTTTCAGACGACTTGGATAAATTGGCCACCGTAACGATTACGAAAGCTGACGTTTCGAGCGTTAGCCCTTCGTCGGAGCGAAGATGACGTTTGGCGCATGACGCAGAAATTACAAAGGCACAGATTCTGCTGAGCGAATGGTGACGAAACAAAATTTACGTACCATAGAAATGCTTACAAAGATACAGTAGATATCAAAGAAACTACTACGAGGAAAAACGTATTCATTGACTCAGTGGAAATTGTAGAAGCCAGTTTTTATACGGGTCAATTTTGGGGTAAAGTGAAGACGGCAACAACAACAACAACAAAACAGCCAAAGACCATGTGGCTGCTGGTTGGCACAATTTTTGTATAGTATTAAAAAGAACTAGAGGTTGTACAAAAACACTAGAAGGAAGTGTGGCAGAATATTTGTCTCACGTGCAAAACAGAAAACCAGCTGCATCCCACATATATATGAGTACCCTATTCCACAAGAGAAGGATGATTCAAGAATATATTGTCTAACTGACATTCAACCAATAATGCTAACAAATAATACTATTAACAATTATAATAATGATAACAGTAGTAACATAATAGTGATTTAAAGGGGCTTGCTCGAAAGCCCCCCATGGCTTTCCAATCCTCCGGGCTCCAACAATAATAGCCTAGGCATCTTTCAATTTCATTTTTGAGACTTGTTTCATACGAAAAGGCGTTCCGCTTTTTAGAATGTTCCGTCATTATGCGTCTTAAGATGCTCTGCAATTCCCCCAAATCCACCAGACCTGAGTTCCATCATTCAGTTGAATAACTTCGCAGCTCGCTTAGCAAATTCAGCGGCTCTTTTTGGCTAATGTCGCTTATTCAAACAGTAAAATATGCCCTCTTCGAATGAAAAAAAGCATTATCAAAGCTTCCCTGATGTGCAAATCACATCTATTGAGATATTTCTGCGAGGAAAAGTTTTGATTTAAATTATGTAACGGATCTACATAATTTGCCGACTTAAACGGTAAAATGCTCTCACTTAAAAGAAAAAAATATTCCATAAAGTTTCATGATGCGCCGATCAAACCACTAAGTAATTTCTGCGAGGGAAACTCTTGTTTTTAAAATCGCCCGCAATTCTAAAATGGTAGTGAGATGCTCGTCTTCTGCTGTCTTCTGTACCGTCATGGCAAGAACCGAAAACATAATGTGCTAGTGGCTATAAGCTAGAAATTTCAAAAGAAGAGAACTCAACTGTGTATCGAGTGCGAATGTCGAACTACCAAGGTACTCCTAAAAAGAAAAGTAAGTAGCACCGGGTAACATCGGGTCAAAATTGGGTCAAGTCGTGGACTTCTATTGTTACACCTACTCACTCACTCACTCACTCACTCACTCACTCACTCACTCACTCACTCACTCACTCCCTCACTCACTCACTCACTCCCTCACTCACTCATCTCGACAATGTATGTATGTGGCTTCGCCTCCTATTAGAGGAAGTAGCCACAAAAAAGAACACAAAGAATCCCTAAATCACAAAATGTGACACCCGCAAAATTTATAAGCACTCGCAACCAGAAAAATGGCCATCCGACCAATTTTTAAAACTTTAATTTCTGTTTCAAATTAAAAACAGAACAGTCCATTGAAGAAAAACAAAAATGACAATCTAACTTCTTCGAGTTCAAAAAAACTTGTTACACTTTTGGTACAAATGGTGTCTTTAGCGCATCGTTGAACAACAGGTCGTTCAACACCGGGATTCACCTAAAACAATTCCTATCTATTGAGCGCCGGAGTTTTCTTTTTTATTTATCTAAAATTCATCATCTTCTTCTTCTTCTTCTTCTTCTTCCATAATGTCGTGAAGAGGACTAATTTGTACATAATTGTCATCCCAAGTCTGACACATGTAATGTTTCCGGAACTCCCGACTTGGTGTGCTCGTACCTTGTTGACGTTGTGGCTTCTTGAATATCTTACACAGGCTGGGTAAAGTGTTTGTAATACTCTCGGGTAAACTTGGCTGCCAGAAAAATACGGTATCTGTTAAACGCCAACATTTAGAGACCGGCAAAAGTTTGTATTCTTTTAGGACCGGTTACTTTTTGTCGCCTAAGGAGAGGGGAGAGGGGGAATTTGGTTATGTCGCAATAAAATCCTCCTGCTATTCCCCTACAAAGGCTATTCAATATTCTTATGATTCCTTTCCCCCTCATTGACACTCATTTTTCTATAGTTCCTCCTTTATACTCCATTAGCGGTGATTGGTCGATTGTTACCCCCCTCCGTGTGACCCCCACTTAAATCCTCTGACTCTCCCCTCCCCCCTCCGGATGATAGACAGTGACTGGTACCTCAGTGCTTAACTGATAATCGCTTCAATCTGCTGCGAAAATATATATATCTTATTAACCAAGCGCGAGGGCCGAAATGGGAGAATATCGGCCCGAGGTCTTGAGAGTACGGACAGAGCGCAGCGAGGTCCGTACAAAAAAGACCGAGGACCGATATTCTTCCAGTACGGTC